TATGAATTAAAATCAACGAGGAGATCTAAAGCAAAAATGGGATTATTTATAGGAACGGACTGTAAATGACATGTGACATTTGATGGTAAATCAACAATTATCCCTATTCAATAAATTATGAGTAACATCCATAAAAAATACTCTGCCTCTATGTAACCCAACTCACATCTATAATATAGGGCTTGCTTTGAAGACAAATAGCTTCTAGACGGTGTTCATAAGTTTGACCTCTTGACTGAGCTCTAAGTAGTTTTTTTTTGTGACTTTCAAAGCGGAAGACAAAGCCCGTGTTGTACGTGTCTTGAAAATTGATATGAGGCATGTTGGATTTGAGATCAATTTGAGGACTCCCACACGCAAACATTTATGTCCGATATTCCTGTCCAGCTGTCAAGAAGAGATGCGACCGAGATTAATATTCATAGGAAATCATTTTAAAATCAACCTGAAAAAACGCTTGGATCAGTGCGGTTGAAATGTTAATTTTTCCTTTTTTAATCTTCCTTTAGTACTAAGAGGCTACAAGTCTGTTTGCTTGCAGCGTACTTCAGTGCATTCTATCGCAGGTACGTTGAATTGCCATGAGACGTTTAACGCTTCTTAACTCATAATAACTTGGAGGGAAACAAGTTGACTTTGTAAGGCGAATATATAGGCAGATTGATTTCCTGTTTTCAAACTAATACTTATAACGTTACAGTCCATCAAAAATAGTTATATACCTGCGCCAACGGTGTCTTCAATGAGATATCATACATTATCTTTGGTGTTATTTTTTATTCTACCGGATATTGAACCGAGAATAAAAGGTTAGTTATAACGAATATTATGTTATTTTTATCGTTTGTTTCTGATAATTTTCATTATTGGTATTATACGAACAAATGTAGGAACCGTACAGAAAATTTGAAAATACTAATAAGAAAAAACTCTTTCTGAAAGTTATCTTTATCCATCGGGACGGAAAACGACAATTGAGAAGATGACAAATAAAAAACACTTTCGTCATAAAGGCAAACCAACAACGAAGACCAGTATTTATATATTTTAGGATGGGAATACTTAATACTTCTATGCAGAAATGCTTAACCAAGTGATACTAAGATTTTTTCACTAGGGTTATGTACGGAGAAAATTAAAATGCCCTGCTGTATTCCTTTTGCTGTTTCCAGTATTTCCGTTCCTGTTCACAGCTTCAGTGACGTCCTGAAATATCATCGACTCAACCAAAGTGAACTAAATTTCAAATAAAATTTTAAAAAAATGTAAAAAAATTATTTTGTTTCCTTTGAATTCACAATCGATTCCTCACATCACACCCCAGGTTGGTATCAAATACGATCTTAGGGGGCCATGGGTGTTCCCTTTACTGATTATTTATTCAGTAATAACAGTTTTATCCTATTCAACTTTAGCAACAGAAAAAACAGGAACTAAAGATGAAACCAGAAGCCGAATGGATCATCACAGTCCTCTACGCCATCACGAT